TGACGTCGCACGCGCGAGTGCTTCCACCCTGAGGCAGTTAGTTTTCTCCCTCGATCTACTCTGCTGATTCCAGTGATTGCGTATTAATTTCTAATCGCTGAACGTCTCGACGATAAATTGATCGCGCGCAAGCTCGTCGGTGGGTAACGAACGAGAAGGAGAAACACGTATAAACAAGTCGAAAACAAACGTCACGATCGATACGTTATTATTATTCGGCGATAGATTGCTTTACGAAATTGCGAGTGACACTTGATTTATCTTGCGCGAGCTCAGATAAGATACAATGTATTGAACCACGAGATAAGACAGTCTACGGACGCGCATTATAAGGCGCTTGGTGACTGATCAACATACAGATACACATATACCGAATAATGAAGCGTAATAACAACATTACGTTATATGACACTTATCGAGGTTACAGGTATATTAAAATAAATTTAAAAATATATACGCGCGGAGACGCATTGAGATTTTCTTTTTCTCCGATTAAAATATGTACTTATTTCGTTCCATTGTTTATATCTTGATCGAAACGCGGCGATTTATCGGTGAACAAATTTCCTTTGCGATCGATGATTCACTTCCCTTGCGTTGCAACTGCAAATGACGTGATTTCTGCATAAAATTCTCGCGATTTTGCTATTTTATGCTTCCACGAGCGGAAGCGTATTGTTTATCGTTCATCATTAGTGTGCATTTTGACACGAACGGTATTTTAATTCGCTGTTATAGACGTACCTTTGACCGGCGTCGAATTAGAAGGAAGAAAAGATTTCGTATTTTCGCGCGACTGCAGACAGCGCGACTCGGAGAAAGTAATTACTTCAATGAGCGCAGAGTTTAAAGTATTTTTTGTTTTCATTTATTTGTTTTTCGCCCCGGAGCCGCGACGGAGCGGTGCATGAAAGATGTCTGTTAAGTTAGCACCCCCCCAACAAAAAATTGGAATAACACATATACAGAAATTAAGTGCTCTTTATGTGCTAATTATGTGCTCTATTCACGATTTTTGTGCTCGAGCGGTTTCGCGGGAAATCGCAATTGAAAGTGGGGGTGCTGGCTTAACGTAAGCTAGCACCCCCACTCATTAAAATTACATATAAAATAAAAAACTCAATATGCTAGAATTATGTGCTTTTTATGTGCTTTCAAATGCCTCAAACGAAATTGGTCTATCTGTAATAGTTTAAAAGATATACACAAAAAAAGATCTATATACTACTGATATAAGAGTATAGTATCAGTTAAAATACAGAAAGCAAAATAATTCTTGTTTTAAAATGTTTCTCGATTAATGTGTTCTCGAAATATGCACAATGAAATTTTCGTGCTCATCCCCTTCCACCGACCCGAACGTGAGCACCCCATACGTACAAGAGTAAAGTACCAGTTCAAATACAGATGGCAAATTGGTTTTAGTCTTAAAATGTTCCTTAATTTATGTGCTTTCAAAATATGTAGAATAAAAGTTTTGTGCTTCAGCCGACAAACCTCCTTGAAAGTGAGCACCCTATAAGTACAAGAGTAAAGTACCAGTTAAAATGCAGATAGCGAATTGGTTTTAATCTTAAAATGTTCCTTAATTTATGTGCTTTCAAAATATGTAGAAAAAAGTTTTGTGCTTATCCCCTTCAGCTGACAAACCGCCTTGAAAGTGAGCACGCCATGCGTACAAGAGTAAAGTACCAGTGCACGGAAATCTCATTGTGCATATTTTGAAAGCACATAAATGAAGGAACATTTTGAGACTAAAACCAATTTGATATCTGTATTTCAACTGGTACTTTACTCTTGTACCTATGGGGTGCTCACTTTCAAGGAGGTTTGTCGGCTGAAAGAGATAAGCACAAAACTTTTATTCTACATATTTTAAAAGCACATAAATTAAAGAACATTTTAAGACTAAAACCAATTTGCTATCTGTATTTGAACTGGTACTTTACTCTTGTACGTATGGGGTGCTCACGTTAGAGTCGGTGCAAGGGGATGAGCACGAAAATTTCATTGTGCATATTTCAAGAACACATTAATCGAGAAACATTTTAAAACAAGAATTATTTTGCTTTCTGTATTTTAACTAATACTTTACTTTTATATCAGTAGTATATAGATCTTTTTTTGTGTATATCTTTTAAACTATTACAGATAGACTAATTTTGTTTGAAGCATTTGAAAGCACATAAAAAGCACATAATTCTAGCATATTGAGTTTTTTATTTTATATGTAATTTTAATGAGTGGGGGTGCTAGCTTACGTTAAGCCAGCACCCCCACTTTCAATTGCGATTTCCCGCGAAACCGCTCGAGCACAAAAATCGTGAATAGAGCACATAATTAGCACATAAAGAGCACTTAATTTCTGAATATGTGTTATTCCAATTTTTTGTTGGGGGGGTGCTAACTTAACAGACATGCATGAAAGGTGATGGAGGAAAGAGCGAGTGCAATATTGACGCAAACGAGGGCGCGGGCCACGCCGTTATCTGTCAACCCCCGACACACACCTTTCGTCCTGTAAAACTGCCTTGCGAAAGCGCCGCGCGAGAAGTCTTTTTCCATCGTTTCGCATCCGTTGTGGCTTGCACGCGTGCAATCTATGCTGGATGCCTTTTCTGTGTGTGCCCCGATGTAACGTTATACAATCAGGTTCATAAAAAGGATTAATTCATGGGATGGCATTTAGACGATGTTCATGAGGTATGGAAAGAAGTAAAAAGGAACCTATCTTATTGCCAGAAGAAAGTACGCAAAAGGAATTAAATAAGTTTTATACTTTGGTTTAATAGTCATTAATCCGTAAGAGCACTTTGATCTTTAACGAAATTTAACGATGGGTCTTCAAACGCAAAAATCATCGTAAATCTGCGATCGATGTACGCTCTTGCGGCGTACCTGGCAGAGATTCTTCTTGATATTGTGCGATGAGGCTTACTCCGTCGAGATCATCAATGATGATTGCGAGACGCACGGAGAATTCACTTCTCTTTATACCTACTTTATACCTATACTATAATGGATTTCATTTCGCGAAACGTAAAAGGGGAGGACGGCCCGGTTACCGAAGAAACGTCCTTTACCTTTACGACTTTCCTACGATGGGTGGGAAGATGCTGCCGTAGGTAGAGAAAGACTAACGAAATACCGTATTACATCTGCGGAAGACGCGCAAGATTATTCGAGCTCTCGACCCAGGTGGAACGGGGATGGCGAGCGGGGGGGAGGGGAACGAAGGGGAAACTTCACGTAGAGCGCCCGATTCTCTATTAGAGGGTAATACGTATTATCGATTTTGGGATGAAACCAGGAGGGTTATCCCAGTTCAAATCATGACAAATGTATAGATACACACCGACGCGCGCGCAACCGTGCGCTCTCGTGCGTATACGTGTATGTGAATACTTCAGTGGAAGCGTTTCTCGCGACCGCACCCTGGAAAAACTTTTTCCAATCTCTCCTTCTTCCTCCCCCTCCTTCCGCTCCTCCCCTCCCGCCCGTGAATTTGTTTGCCCAGTCGAAAACAGGGTCGTCGACTTGGAGATCTCGAAGAAATCCCCGCCGGCGAGAAGTAGCTCGTGGCTCCTAAGCGGATTCGTCTTCAAAATCCGGCGATAATTGCCTCTAATTTTCTGTCGTATGTCGATTATTCGAAATAATTAGGAATCAATTGCGGTATTGTCGCTATGCATATTCGAGATTTATCGAGAAGTTATTAGGTTAATATTGTCTGTTAAATTTGATTAATAATTTTGTGGAAAATATTTGTCTGTCTTTTAATTATAAATTATTATATTATATGAGTCAAATTTTTGGATAAAATATCATGATATTAATAATTATGATTATTAAGTAGTTAATAATTAATAATAGAAATAATTAAGCTAAAAAGCCTTGTTATCGATAATATAATTTTCAGATATCTTTCGTTAGAAAATTATTACACTTTCGATTGTGATTGATTCAATGAATTAATGTACATTAACATATTGAAATAACACCAATAAAGACAATATATAATCTTTCCTGTTATGCGATTACTATTTATTAATTAATGATTAATAATCAATCTTGCGACGATGATTACGTGATTATTTTAATAATGTTCTCTGTAGTAATCAATTATGAAAATTATCGGTCTTTGTTCGACACTAATAAAATCTGATGAGTTTCAAGTATTATTGAGACGTAATATGGTAATATAAATGAACGATGTATAATAATGTGCATTCGCGACGTGCGAGGATTATTTGGATTCATCACATCGCGCGCATAGAGTCACGTGCCATCGATCTTTTCGAGTCGGTAGACGATTCGCTCGTCGAGATTTACGAGCCGCGGCATCGGGGTCCGACGCTCCGCGAAACAAAACGACCCTCCGCGGGCGGCAGTCGGCGATCCGTATAAAGACAGCGGCTGAAAAAGCGTCGCGAGTATTGACAAGTACGGTGAGAAACTTTCCGGGTTAATCGCAGAAAAAGCCGGTGGAATCGAGCTCGGCGACACCAAGCGACGAGTTAAATACCTCGCGTCGCTCGGTTCGGTCGTCGAGCAACAGAGCAGCGGAAAAAGCGGTACTCTTTTAAAAGACCATCTCGATCCGAGCTTGATCGAAAGACGATCAATACTACCGGCTGAAGTTATATGATAAAGAAAATAATAAAATTATATAATTAATAGAAAGTACTTTTCTCGACTGAAAAAAAAACTGGTTCGTTCATTTTCCATCAGAAAATACTGGTTAAATCTACCAGAATCTGGTTGAATTAATAGGAATTCTGGTTGCATAACTAGAATTCCGGTTGCATTAATTGGAAGAATCTGGTTCGTTCATTTTCGACCAGATGTCCAATTAATTCAACCAGATTTTTTTTCAATGCAGGTAATCGCACACAGCGAATATTCTTGAAAATTTGTATTGCGTTGTTTTTTTTTGTTGACTTTCCGGTTTTTGAAAGGTTCATCGACGATTCACGATCCTCCCTCTCTTCTCATTTCAGCAGCCGAAATTCCTCAAGAGGACGACCGAGGAGTTGGAGTCAGCAGGTGGTGCTAGTGGCGATGGCGGCTTCGGCGAGCCGCCGGTCAAGCTGCAATGCACGCAGGGGCAGCATCAGCATCAGCAGGGTCCGGGCGGCGGTGGTGGTGGCGGACCTCATCACGGTCATGGCCAGCATCAGCCGGGGAACGGCGCGAACTCAACGGGCCCGGCGCCCGGTGGCGGTGGCGGTGGTGACGGGAACGAAGGTCTCACCAAGTTCCAGGTGCAGATCGTGCAGCAGCTGGAGTTCACGACCTCGGCGGCGAATAACTCGCAGGCCCAGGCGATCTCTACGAACGTAACGGTGAAAGCGCTGACAAACGCGTCGGTGAAGAGTGATCTTTTAAATTCGTCCTCATCGCCGAAACCCGGTCCAGACACGTCAGCATCTGCCGCGTCTAGACCGCAGCCCGGAAATGGAAGCGGTCCGGGAGGTCCTGGCGGGCCCGGCGCAGGTGGTGGTGGCGCCGGTAGCGCCGGTGGTACCGGCGGAATCGGTTGCGTCGACATCGGTAACCTAGTCGAATGCAAACAAGAACCCGATAACGAGTTCGTGGATCTGGAACAGTGCGCCGCGGCACTGGAAAAGGACGCCGCGGCGAACGGTACCGGATTCCCCGGTTTTTCCGAGTTCATGGAGGATACCGGCGACGAGATCATTACGTCGGACGCGTTCAAGGACCTCATCTCCGAGATATCGGACTTCCATCCGGAGTTTATGAAGGACTTCGACTTTGAGGACAAGAGCGTTGACACGCTGGCGAACAATGCCGCGGCAGCGGCCGCGGCCGCAGCTGCCGCTGCCGCCGCCAATAACAATAATAACAGTGGCAACAACAATAACGGGTTGCCGACGAATAACGGGCAGATCAAGATCGAAGACGATAAAGATGCGATCCATCAGCAGCAGCAACAGCAGCAGCACGCCAACGGCGCGAACAACAGCGTCAACAGCAACAATGTCGGCAATAACAATGGTAACGCGATGCCGGCTAACTCGAGCCCGGGCGCTCTCGGCTCCTCGCAGTATTCGCCCGCTCGACTTCCTTACTCCGGGCTGGATTTCAAATCTGAGAGCCCGGCGGCGCAGACGCTCAAGCAGATGGCCGAGCAGCATCAGCACAAGAGTCAGCAACTGGGCCTGGGTGGATTCAACCCTGCGGCGGCCGCAGCGGCCGCCGCGGCGCGGGGCCCGGCGACGAGGTCCCCTTACGCCGAGTTTTCTCAATTCGGTGGCGCTTCCGATTACCTCGGTAGTCCCGGCAGCACCGGCCCGACCGGTGGACAGAACCAGGCGACGGCCACGGGGACCGGCTCGTATCACAAGAACAATGGCACTCCGACCTTCCAGAGTCAGCAGACCAACGATATGTTTGTCAGCTCGCAGACCCAATTCGCCGCGGGCCTCACAGATATGAAGAGGCCCCAGCCGACCGCGACGGGTGGCAAGCCCGGCATGCTGGGGCCCAGCGGCGGTTACAAGCAACAATACTCGCCGTATGGCAGCCCGGGTTCGATGCCGAATCACGGTAGCCCGGGTTACCCGCTGCCACCGAGAGGATCGCAGGGTGGTGGACCTAACCCGACCGGTTCGCAAGGACCCTTCAACACGACTTCCACGCCGCCGAGACCTCCTTCGGGATCCGGTACTTCGACTTTGCAGATCAATCAGGCTCAGCAGCTGCACATTGGAAACCAGATTCAGGTAAGTGAAGTGACTTTTTTCTCCACGAGATCGATTCTCTCGAAAACGAAATCTCTCATGTCGGAAATATGTATTCTGCAAGTTATTTTTTTCAGCGAAAGATAGCATTTTGTATCTCGGTATTTGAAAGAAAAAAAATGTATCATAAATAATATTGTTATCTAATTATATGAATTGGAGATTAACTGCGTTATTATAAAATAGGCTGCATTCCGATATTTACTGTCAGCAACTGTCAGTACTGAAAACTAATGTCCATTTCTATCAACGCAGGTTAATTTTAATCTTGGTTTAACTTACCTGTCATCTTTTCCTAGTTCTAAAAGTTAGAAAAAGATATAAAGTAAGTTAAACCAAGATTAAAGTTAATCTACACTGGTAGAAATGAGCATAAGTCTGTAGTATACGTGGACGTAAAATATATAAAAATATAGATTTTCAGTACTGACAGTGATGAATATCGGAATGCAGCCATAATACATAAACGACTGCGCGCGAAATGTACACCGTATTTTGTTCGAGCTATATTGCTTTTTCGATTTGCAAGGATATAAATAAAGTACACCGTACATCTCTCCAGTTTATCCAGTTCAAGCGGATAAAGTTCCCCCGAGCTAATACTAGACTCTCAACGGAATATTTATTCTTCTCAACGAGAATGGATTTCGTATCGAGCGCTTCCAAGTTTCGACACAGCGACTTTTCTCAGCCAGGTGCCGGCCGCTGCCAATCGCTATCGCGGCGATCGAAACGAGCAGCGCGCGGAACAACCGAGGGCTACTCGAGCCCGAGTGATATCTGTTGCGCCGCGCGCGACGACGCGTCTATTTTTGTCGTCGGCATCGCGGGGCATCGTTGGCGACGGCGGCGGCGGCGGCGGCGGCGGCGAAGGGGTGGCGACGGCGGCAGTGGCGGCGGTAGCGGACGTTGTTGGTCGTCGATGAAACGCGGTGATACGGGGGGTAGAAGGGAGCACCACGGCGTCACGGGGGCGCCGCGCCGCGACGCGACGCGACGCGCAACAAGTAGTCTCGTTTCTCCCAGCGGCGGCGACGGTGGCGGTGGCGGTCCTCTTTGTAAATTTTCCCTCTCGCCAGAGTCCACCATCCCCGCTCCCGCATCCTCTCCCTCCCCCCCTCCCTTTCTTTCTCTCCCTCTCTCTCCCCCCTCTCTCTATCTCTCCGCGCCGACGCTTCCGAGCGGCGTTAGGAGTTGGGGAGGTGGACAGCGAGGGGTTACGCGGCCGCGCACAGCCGGCGTCGCGACGCCACCGCCGCCGTCTGCTCGATTTAACCTGCGCCTACAATCCGCGTCAATACGCTCCGTAGTGATAGTCGCGGGGCTGCGACCGTGACAATATGCACGTGACGCCGGCGTCGGTGCGCGGCGGCGGCAGCGTCGCGTCGGCGATGAGGTAGCCCCATACGTCTGTACGTTCGCGTACAAAAGATTTCACCTGAACGCTGGACGAATGAAAAGGATTGCCGCGCTCGTCGATACGCTCGTCTCGCCGCGCTGAATTACATAAGGGCCCCGATTCAATTCGCTACGTTGTCGATGAAGGGAGCTCTCTGAATAAAACTATCAACGGAGATGTCCACGCGAACGTATCTCCCTATAAACAATGGGAGCCAATCGTTAGGGAAGCTGACATGATAATCGAGTTCTCTCTCTCTCTTTCTTTCTCTCTTTCTCTTCCTCTTTCTATCTCTCTTTATTTCTCTTTCTCTCTCGCGTTATTTATTAACTATAATTAATAGCAGCTAACAATACATTAATTTAATTAATTTGAAGCTTTATTTTTACTGTCGACTCGACGATAACCTAATGATGTTAATCTCGCAGAGTCCGCAAAAGATTCAGAGCAAACCGCGAATCTCCATCGGGTCACAGAAATTCGCAGGATCAGCCGCGACCCTTTTACTTACGTCAATCCCGGGAGGAACTTGCTGACCGAGAGAAAACGGTGGATCTCCGGCACCGCGTGCGAATACTTGTCGCTATAAAATCCCCGGTCCATTGTGGCGGCTGCTCGGACAGATCTTATCTGCTCGAATGGATTTGGGCTCGGAAGCGCTTCTACTCGCTCGCTCGAGCACGCTCCTTCCTCGTAAATTACGTTAGGCGGTGCGTATTTGCATCTCAATGCGTCGAGGAGGCGAATGACGCCCCCTCTTCCTTCACCTCTTTAGCCACACACACAGATCCACCTTCTATCTCCCGGCCCTCAACTCTGTCTATAAGCATCTTCTGCTTTTCCGCGCTCAATTCCGTCGCGAATTTTTATTCTCGCGCGGCTGCGTAGTGATTTTTCGTTTCCGCCCGAATCGGCAACGGCACAATCTCGCTCATGTAAATATCATGGGCGGGGATAATCGACATCATTGATATTACTTTGACGCTGGTATGATACGGAATTCCCGCGATTGGCAGAGATTCGTTGTATGATACGATAATGGGATCAGCGCGCGCGATCCCGCGCGGTTATAATTAATCATTCTCGGAGGGCTTCGAATCATGGAGCCCCGCGCGCGTGGCTGTCAATACGGATCGATGGGTTTCGTCTCGACATCGAGATATTTTATCGAGGCTCATAAAAAAGAGAAAAGATAAACGGATATTGATGTTGAAATCTCCGTGTCCGACAAAATCAACCATTGAATATCCGAGCTGTATAATCGGGAATGCGATGTAAGCGAGATCAAATTGGTGATTTTTTTTCATGCTCTCAGCGTCAATCTTTCCGCACTACTCGAGAGAGAGAGAGAGAGAGAGAGAGAGAGAGAGAGAGACGTGGAGATATAGAGAGAGGGAACTCTTTTTTTACAACGTGTCGACGTGTCATTTACGCGGCGTAGTCCGGAAACCGAGTTTCTCTTCAGGACCCACGGTGTCGCGCGATCGATTTACATACCCTGACACGACTTTCCCACGTTTTTTTCGTAACCTCTTGTCGCCAGACCCTCCGAATCGGTGTTGTTATCAGGACGGAAGTCCATCGAGAGACGGACCGTGTTGCCCGTTTATCGCGAAGCGTCGGAATTGTCGCTCGAGTCGATGTCAGGTACACGTCGAAGTTGCAATTGCGTCGACAAATTTCGCCTCCTCTATACATTCCAAAGGAGGAGAGGTAGAATTGCGTTGAAAAGATGAAAATTAACGCGATAGGATTTAATTAAGAATTCGTACTGCCATTTAACCGCTTTAACCCACTGCATAAAATTCGCAATATCGCTCGTTTAACGACTGATGAAAGCATTCTTTATTTATGCGTCACGTTCGGATATGCGATGTATGTACAAATTTAACCGACTACGGTGGAAAAGCGACGCGAGTATCATCGGTGAGTGGGCGGGGAAAATCGACGTATCGAAATGCCGTGCAAATCAAACGTGCTACGATGTAATTCGTAAAACTCATTTGGTAAATACGACGCGATCGATACGATTTGCGAAGCGTAACCCCTCTTCTCCCATTAGCCCTCCTCTCCCCCCCTCCTCGTATGGCGAGAGGGGGTGCGTGTATGTTTATGGGCGTTAAGCGGGTTTTCGAAACATTTAACCGCGCTCGTACACTCGCAGCGAATATTAATTTACCGCTAATTACGGAATCGGGAATGGTAACGTAGCAAACAAACGCGCGAATGCTCAATAAGAATTTATTACCGCTCGTTACCAACTAGTGTAATCAGTGTACGCATTTTGATGCGTCCATCACCCCATTCAAAGAGAGAGAGAGAGAGAAAGAAAGAGAGTGAGAAAACGCGTCACTGTCGAAAACGCGTCGTCGCCGAAGTATATATCTTCCCTGGCAAAGGAGAAGAATAACGCGTGGAATGGATTTCGTGGAATCTTCTTCGTATCGCGAGCTATGCCGGGAATTTCACGCAGATGAAAACGCCTCCAATGGCGTAACTGGTGAGGGTGCAGCATCCATTTGCCTGTCGCTACCTCCGTCCGCGTCGGTGAACCGTACAAGTTTATGACGAGGTAAAAGTTAATCAAAATGTTAGCGGGAACTACTAATTCCGCTAATTAAGTAACTCCTCATTTAAGTCATATCGTCTAACTCCTGTATTTCTATCGTGAATTCCGAAGCGACTCCTCGTGGGCATTATCGCATATCGTTGTGAGATATTATTAATTCTTACGTTCGATCTGACGATCCGGTAGTTTGATCGATATTCAGATAGCATTACGACAAATGCAGATGGATGGTTCGCTGTCGAAATAAAGTAGGTCGATCGCATGCAGTTAATAACCTCGTCCTCACCTATGTAAAACAGCGTCCGCGGCTTAATTGACGAAATATTCAAATTACCCGATTTCGAGGCGCGTTTCGGGGTGCCAAAGAGCAGTCGTGCCGCGCATTCAAATGATAATTGTTGCCCACACGCGAGTGTGCGCCTTTTTTTCTTCTTCTTCTTCTTCTTTATTGTCACCCTTTCCGTTAGCGTTATCTATTCTCCATCGAAACGATCTGTGTGAGATATGCGCGATCGACTGGGCTTTTAGACGGAAGGGTTATCGCTGCCAACGACGTCAACAATCTACATATCGTAATGAGTCCAAGAAGGATGTCGTTTCCTCTTCGCGTGACCTTCATCTTGACCCTTTACAAAGTCCACGCTCCTGCCACTGCACCATTATTGCCGCACAATCGGCACATCATACGTTGTAAGTTAGCATTTAATAGCTCGCTTTTGTCGAGTAAGACACTTTAATCGTTGACGGGACTGCTGGACTGTTTTTGCCGTACAAGTCGACCGGCGGCGCGGTGAAATACTTTGGTGTCGATTCACGATCCTTGTTGCATGTCGATAAAAAAAATATTGCGCTGTGTATCGATACGTATCCCTCGTATTTTCCTAGCTAACGGATATATATATATACATACATATATATATATACACATATATTTGTACACTATACGCGGTAACACGAACTATAAAACGTGGCGCAACGCGCCGCGCCGCGCCGCTCGACGAGTGTAACGTTGTT